GGATTTCGAAAATATAGGTCAACTGGCGATTTACTTACATACGTCACTCACTTATGGCAAAAAGCGATTGAGTTGCGGGGTGAAACAAGAACAATTGCCTTAGATATATCTAAAGCATTCGACAAAGTTTGGCATGAAAATCTGCTCAACAAGCTCAAAGCAATGGAATTATCGCCGAAACTTTGCATTTGGTTTGAAAGTTACCTAAAGGACAGATCCATTTATGTTGCACTGGATGGCCAGAACTCCAACTCTTACCAAATAAATGCTGGTGTGCCACAGGGAGCAATCCTTTCGCCAACTGTTTTCCCTGATTTACATAAATGACCTCACAGATAAAACAGTAAATCCACTTTATTGCTTTGCAGACGATGGCAATGTAGTCTCCTCACTCATACCACCCACAGGTCTTTCCGCACGTGAATTCCATCATCTCAGACTAACTCAGATATCGCAGATAAATAACGACCTGGAGATAATAGAGGACTGGGGTAACAAAAACCTTGTACAGTTCAACGGGCAGAAAACCCAAGCAGCTCTGTTTTCAAAAAAGACCAGCACCGGTGAGCCAAACATCATGCTATCTGGAAGTGCTGTCACATTACAGAGTCAGTTGAACATCTTGGGGGTTACTGCAGAGACCAACATGTCTTGGCACAGTCACGTGGCAGATATTGCTAAAAGGGCGTCCCAAAAGCTGGGGGTGCTATTTCGTACAAGACATCTGTACACACCAAGCCAATTGCTGACACTCTACAAAGCCCAGATTCGACCAACTATGGAGTACTGCTCACATATATGGAGTGCAGCACCCAAACATACCTTAATGCTTTTGAACACCGTGCAAAAACGAGCTATCAAGCTGATCAATGACCCCGCACTTACTCGTAACTTGGATGGTCTCGAACATCGCAGATCTGTGGGCGATTTATCTCTCTTCTACAGGTACTATCACGGAAAATGCTCTGAAGAGTTGGCACGTATGATTCCACCGAGAGTAGCGCCTACCAGGCGAACCCGTCAAACAGACGGTAACCATGAATTTACTGTCAAACTAGAGGCACCAAGAACCTCATTATATCAGAATTCATATCTCTGGAGAACAGCATCGCTGTGGAATAAACTCCCTGCGACGGTTTTCCCTGCAGGTTACAACCTGAACCGTTTCAAGACCAACATACACCGACATTTCCGCGCACTTGCCGCTTCTCGAGCGTGATAGGACATTTCCTTGCGAGTGCGCATATCCGTAAAAAAAAAAAAAAAAAAAAAAAAAAACTTCAGAATTATCTATGTTAATTAGATTATTTTCAATTCTTTCATAAAACCTTTCATAAACCTCCCTAGGACTATTTGGCACAATATAGATCAAAATTTTGCGGAATAATCACAAAAGAAACTAATAGCCCGATCATCGGAATAGAAACAAAAACACTATCATTCCGATTATCGGACGAGCATCCAGTTCCAAAATCATAAGTGAACATTTTGCATATAATACCAAAATAAACTAGTAACCCGATAATCGGAATAGAAACAAAAACACTATTATTCCGATTATTGGACGAGCATCCAGTCTCTATTTTTTATCGGGTTGGTAAATGAAAACTTAAGTAAGGATGAAACTATACTTTTTGAAGGGTAGATAATGATTGGATTGGCATGGCCTTGGGCATGGGCGTCGTTTAGGGGGGGGGGGGGCAGGGGGGGCATTTGCCCCCCCTAGAAATAGTGGAATGGTGGAAACTATAAAAGAAGAGATCATTTCTTCGGTTATAGAAGTTTTTGGTTCCGAAAGACGAAATTAAAAAAAATTATTTAGCTAGAATGGGTTGCACTTGTCATTAAATACCATTTAAATTTCGTTTTTTATTTTGTTTATTTTACTTCACTCTAAAATTCAAGATGTATCTTGCAATAAGTACAAGAGAGTTCCTATTTTATATTCTTAAGAAAAAAGTGTTTGGTTTTTAGTCTTTACTATTATTTATCTTTCGATTAAGACTAAAATGTTTATGTTTATGAATGATTTTTCTGTTTTGTTTTAAGCTTTACCTGTAGTATTAGTTTAAAATAAATTTTTTTTAGACTCAGATGTTACTTCCTTTGTTCCTACCTATGCAGTTCTAGAATTTTGTAGTTTTAGTATTGTTAGACTCAGAGCTGGGAGTAACGACAAAAAAAAGTTACTTTACTTTAACGAGTTACTGAAAGTAACGCGTTACTTGGTAACTTCGTTACTTTTCAGATTGATTGATAAGTAACTGTAACGACGTTACTTTCCTGGAGTAACGCTGGAAGTAACGCGTTACTAGTTACTATGAAAGTAACTCGTTCTCTCAATTCGTTTATCTTCTTTACAAATAATTGGCGAGTGAGGAAAAGGAAAATAAGTAATCTAAAAACTTTGTATGTCAAATAAAATGTTGGTAGTACAGAAAATTTGTTTCGAAAGCTCAAAATAATCGTTTTTGGCCGTACCACGCGCCGCCTCTGCTCTAAAGACACTATATGCAGACACTGGGACGCTTCAAAGAGCAGGTTTGTCCAAAACCAAGTGCTCTATTCAGTCGCTTAATCCTTAATCCGCTTGAATTTTGCAAGAATACTCTTCCACATAGTCGGACTCACAAACTAAAAACATATTGGCATTTCGTATAGGTCTTATTTGATTGTTTGGACTGCTGTGTTGGTGAGTTGGTAAGGAATAACGCAAATTTCGACGTAAATAGTTATTTTTGAAGTAACGCGTTACTTTAAAAGTAACGAACTACTTTTAAAGTAAAGAAGTTACTTTCAAAGTAAAGAAGTTACAGTAACGCGTTACTTTCTAATAAGTAAGTAACGAAAATAAAGTTATCATTATTCGAAAGTAACTGTAAATTTTAAGTAACGATTTATTTTTAAGCAAAAGTAACTGTAAAGTAACGCGTTACTTTTTTCAAGTAACGATCCCAGCTCTGGTTAGACTGTCCTGTTGGGAAAAATTTGGTTTTTCGTTCCTATTTTTGTAAAACTTGTAATTTGTACCTGATTTGTGCAATTGTATCTGTAGGTATTTTTAATAAAACATATATTTTGATGAAAGATTAGTGATTACCTATTTGAGTAACGACCTTCAATGAATACGCTGTGCTGTGAAAAATTGGCTGACATTTTCATTACATTCAACGGAATTGAATTTCACTTAACTTAGGGCCGGTATTATAAAACACTGAACCGATGGTAGTTTCAACCTTGGGTTGAATCCTATCAATTTGCATGGTGTCAACCGAAGGTTGAAACTCAATCATCGGTTCAGTGTTTTATGATACCGGCCATTAGAAAATTACCTAAACAAATGATGCGGAGAGTGAATTTGTTGCGGAAAAAAATACCATCATTTTTAACTAAATATCGATATTAAATAAGTACGATAAAATGCTCAAAAAGAGGCGTGGCACCAAAAAAAATTAGCCTACAGCGGTTGCCTGCGGCGCTCATGGAAATAGTCTTATTATAATACTGCTCCCCCCTGCGAAACCTCGTAACGACGCCCAGGGCATTGGGTGGGTTCTGTATTCTATACCAAAACCTAAAACCCACATAGAATTAGAAAATATTGGCCATTGGGTTTGTTTTGATTGAAATTTCAATGAAAACCGGATCATAAAATGAAAATGGCTCAAATGAAATTCAATTGAAAGGGATTCAGTTTGCAGCCTTTTAAACGATTCTTTCTGTTCTAGTTCTCATGTCATACCAAGTGCAGGACTTTCATAATGTGTGAATGAATTTTGAGTGCTGATTATTTTATTGTAATCCACCAAAGTTTCAAACCCTCTGTATGATTAATGCCCACGCCCACCAAGTTTATTGAAACTATAAAAATACTTGAAACCTATTTTCCAGTCTCCTATAAAAGTATACAACGTGATTCATATAGCCTGTGCAATTAGAAGTTTTCCAGATTGCAGGTGGATTAGTAGAGATAGCATTTAATCCACCTGCAATCTAATGTACGTGTTACGTACATCACCCTGCATTTGCTAATTAACTGAAGGGTGCAAGCACAATGGATCGTCTTGTGCACGATATTATTTAAAAAAATAAAAATAAAAAACTTAAATATGCAGGTTCTTTTAATTTTAAAGTTTTGTGTATTTGTCATCCTAGATAAATGTATCTTGTCTGAGCCATACCATGCCCAAATACTTCAATGAAACGGTTACTAACAGGTTCCCTTCTAGATAAACATCTCAAACACCGCACAGAAGCATTCTGCACTTTCTGTACTCTGTACTTACTTATTAAGATTTGTAGGGAACGGCCATAGCATTTTGTAGCAACAATAGGGAACTTGCACATTAAATTAAATATGGAATAAATAATTAAACACAATAACAATCATCCTAATAAATGATGCAATTAGGAAAAAAATATAATATCTTATCTCTGATGTCCAAAATCTTCAATTGAAAAATACCAAATAATTCCAAATTCATAACGCGATCAAAAACGTGTTTCTATGGGTTGTGACGTCACAAGGCAGTAATAATCGGGTCGCGCCGCTGTCAAGGGGAAACATAACAACATAACCATAATCTAAATCTACCTGTTCGAAGTGCCCGTCACTGTCAACGGAATTTTGTTGCCGAGTGACGTCACACGAATCGGTCGTTTCAAATGCCGATGTTTCGAGCGTAACTTCAAATATTTATAAAAAATTAACGGCTGATTTTTAATGCTTGATATTTGGCATGACTATGCCTTTAGTGTAGTAGAATACATTTTTGGAATAAAAAAAAATGTGCAAGTTCCCTATTTGCTTTTTCCTTTTATAATAATTATTATTATGAAATATGTATTGATTATTCTTCGGCTTGAAGCTACTTACTGAAATTAACTAATTAACAATATTGCATTATGTTGCTTTAAATAGTAATTCCATTTTTTTTTTTGAACAAACAATAAGTTGACTACTGAACTGAGTGATTATAAACAGGCTAATTTAATTTCAGTGTGGAAATACCTTTATAATTCATAATCAAGGCCAGTTTTGGTATGATTTGCTACCCTTATACTTCAAGCACAACAACATGAGCAGTTTTGTTAGACAGCTGAACTATTGTAAGTATAAAATGCTCGATAAAATGATAAGAGAAATAAAAATACATGTATCTAATATCTGTTATGTTTTATATTATTTATACAGAGTGTTTCTGAATAGTGGGATCAAACTACTAGGACTCAACCTACTCATTAAAACGAGAAAAAAGTTAATAGAAACATGGATCCGCGAATGCTTAGTTTTCGAGATACAGGGTGTCAAAGTTTGAAAAAAAAGACGTTATCTTAGCTCAAAAATCTCTTTCCCGATGTTTTTTAAAACTTGATAGGTTTGTCTGTGATAAGATAAGGTATTTTTTGACTGTAATAGGACTTGCTTAATCTAAAAAAAAAATTCAAAAGAATAAAAAATATTGATGTGTCATTTTTTTTCTACTTTCACCAACGTAGTTGCCCTCTATCATTGAGTCAAAACATACCTTTTCTTATTACAAACACATATTCCGATTTATGCCAGTTGATTATTTCAAAATCTCACAAAACATCACTTACGCGCTTACCCTGAAAATTGACCAATAGTAACAAGCAGATTTAAATATTATTTTAATCACTCTCATAAATTATGATTTAAATCACACGCTAGATACCTATGCATAACGAACGAACCAAAACAGTCTACCAGAAGGTGAAAATTAAACTGATGAAAATATAGTTTTGACACCGGAAGAAAGACAAAGAGCATTGGAATGTGCAGAATTTTTTTTTTATCTGGGCTTTCCCCAGCATGTACTGAGATTCATCAGTGGAAGTCACCCGTTTGTAGGGCCACTGATGAGAAAAGCCCCAATCGATGACTAGTTTGTGATTTCTGTGAGAACAAACCTTTTTTAATGTCAATGTAGCAGTTAATCTGCTTGTAAAAGAAGAAATTATGCAACTCATGACAGCAACTGCATCATGAGCAAGAGTGGAACGCGTTTTCTCAACCTTTAATATGGTACGCAGAGATGTGAGAAATCTATTGAGGGTTGACAATATGATGGAGATATAGACTTCTTTATTAATTGGTTATATTTCTTCATTTTTCAAAATATGTAGGTATTTCATTACGATTTCAAACTGCTTTAAATCAAAAAAATCTTACTTTTTCACTTTTTTAATAAAAGTCATGACTTTTATCATTGTCTTTTATCCACCCTGGAAACATGCCTTTTGAAGTATATATTTGTGATTTTTCTACTCTATAGGTTGGTTGAACAGATTTTAATTATTTACTTAATTATATTTGACTTGTGTAAGTTGCTTTTGTGACAATAACATAAATAAATTTTAATTGATTGATTGAATATATTTTTATAGCCTCAACTCCTTTTTCCATATACTTAGTGGACTGAAAAACGGGAAAAAAGTCGCTTCCTTCTTGATTTTTTTTTTTTGAGGTATAACTACATGAGACCATTACAGATCGATGGAATAGGTCCATGGCCACCTGAAATGGCCAATTACAACATTTTTTTGTAGGTCCAACAATTTTCATATCGAAAAATATCATAAATTTGTAAAAATTCAGTTTTCATGCATACCTCGCGATATCTCCGGAACTAATTAAGATAATTTCATAATTTTTTTTTATTCTGGAGAGAATATGTTAGCGAAAATCACCAAGATAATTTTGTTTTTCTGAAAAACTCGCTTTTTTCGTAAAACTAGGTAAAACTTCAACTTACACTTTTTATGCAGTACTTTTTTCAGTACGCGAGAAACTTTTTTGTTTTAAGGATTTTTGCCATACGTACTATCAGCGAATGAAACAAAGCTAAGACATCAAGGAAGTTTTTGAAAAAAAACGCGATACTCTGCGATGCATAGTTTTGAAGATATCGTCACTTGAAGTTGAGAGTTTTATCGGCCGTGCACTACCCCGGATACCTTCGCAACATGTGGCGCAGCGCGCGTCTTTCAACTGCTTGTTTTTTGAGCCTGGGTGCCTTTCCATGATATATTTGCGCAAATTCAAATTAATAAAATCCATAACTTTGGTTTTAAATAATACTAGCATAAATATTTGCTGTTCACTAATTATTTTCATTAACTTGCTCCTCTAAATCGTCATCCGAAATCACTTCGGGTTCGGGAGTGCAAATACGCACACTGTTACTACTGCAGTTTGGATATTCGCATTCACTCCAACATTTTTATCCTTGTAAATTTCTTTCTCCAAATTTCCTACTACATATAGATATCATCTATTTATAAAAAAAATATGTAGTTTTACCATGTCCTAATCCTAACTGTATAAATAGACTTTGGAGAATTGCTGGTATTGTGCAGTGAACATGATTAAGCAACATTAGGACAGGACATCTGTATCAAAAGATTTTACCAGAACTATGTTAACTGATTTTAGTTACGTAAGGTATTTATCTGGTATCATGTTCTTCTTGAATACTATTTAATTTTTCCAGATTTTTCGATTCTTCAATTTTACTTATTTTGGAACAAAGTTCAGAATCCTGAAATCCACCTGCTATTATGACTGTTGAATCATTTATTAGTTTTTTTTTTATGGTCGGAACATACACAAAAGGAAAGGATGGTCTTATCTGGCCCCTATAGAGCAGCAAAAGCTGAAATGGGGTATACAGCTTTTTCGTTCTATTATAAGAGCCCCTAGCTTTTGAGTTTTGTGTTGCTGCCTTAGCGATTTTGGTGACGTGGTTGTTTTCCACGTTGATGCCTAGCAAGTTTATGGATGAGGCCTAGGTCACTGTTGGTCCTGTCTACCTGTCATTGTTAGGTCAGATCCTGCGGAGTTTGCCTTTTTCGAGAAAATAGTTGCTTGCGTCTTTCCTGCATTAAACTGGACAATGTTGTTCCCACCACAGACCACAATATGAAAGACCAGATAAGGGTGTTGTCATCTGTAAAGCTGTAAATCGCAGGTTTAGTAATTCTAGATTTTTTTTTATTATAAACGTTATGACAGTGATTGTTTATTGGTTCAAGAAGATCGAATAAATTCTCGAAACATGTTTTTTTATGTACCGCCAGCTACTTCATATTTACTAATTACCACGGAAAATGAAGACAGAAATGTGACATTTTCAACACAGATTTTCAAATTTTTGAAAAGTCAGTAATGACAACATTTCATATAAGGTTAAAAATAAACAATAATATCGGTTGACTACATGCCAGGAACCGCATCTCTCCCCACTACTTATTAATCCTTGTGTTATTTTGTATCTTTCTCTAACACGTGGAAAGCGATTATTTTTCAATGAAAATTAGCAACGCTGCAAAAAAATAAATCCCACCTCGAATTCCACCTTTCCACCAATCAGCGGCTTCTATTCAATTGTCATGTCAAAATGCGACATGACAATTTCTATTTGTCAATCAGTGCGCAGTGAGTGTATCCGCATCTTTTTCTAAAATTATGTAAAATATAAGGATAAAGATATACTTTTGTAGCACTGATTCTGGTTTCATTTTCAGAGTTGCCAAGTATGCGATAGTAAAATGGGGGCGGAGTTAGCGGGATCATTTGAATCCCTACTCCTAGCCGCTTTCACAGCTCACCCCCCCTGGCCCATAAACATGTAGTCAACCAAAACAAAGCTATTTTATCAATGGGATGTTCTGTCTATCTGTGTTAATAGGTCATTGCATTTTCTCCTCCTCCCTCAGAAAATTAATAATTCATGAGAAATTTTTTTGATAGTTCTAACAGACAGTCAAACTCATGTCAACATGAGGGCGAGACCCAAAAAGTTGGGTTTTGTTGAACTTTTCGGCGTAATCGTGGCGAAGTTGTGACGTTTTTTTTTTGTTTCTTCTGATATATGAGGTGGGTTCGGCTTGTTCACTCCGAGTGACTTCATTCGCACTCCAGCCGTTCAGGTATTGCTTTTTGGCGTATTAGGGGTGACTCCATTAGCGTTCCACTATATGGAGTGGAGTAAATGGAGATCACTCCAAAAGTTCCACCTCGGAAAGAGAATTTTTCAGAGTAAGCATGCGCAGAGGTGAAATGTGGAAACTGTCAAGCTTGTCACGTTGTGGTTGTTGTTAAAAAAATTAAAAATCGTTTATGTGTGGATGCGGGAATTGGTAAAATCATCGAGTAAAATAATTGATCTGATTTTAAAATTTATTTAACATGATGGGAAAAGTTCCTTGACAAAGTTAAACAGACGCAAAAGCATCATATTATTCATTATTGTGGAGGGATTGAAGTTAATTTATAGTACACGAAAGACCAAAGACAAAACCAGAGATAAATACTATATAAACTGTCGAGAATGGAATCTCAGTGTAAGTTTTGTTGTCAACAAAATTGAGCCAAGCCAGCGCCATCTACCATATCGGAAAATCACTATTTACTGGTTTTGCACAGTGTTGCCAACTTGGTAAAATAATTACCAGATCTGGTAATATCGACCCCGGTTTTAGTAATGAAAATTTTCAAAATATATCTAGTAATATTTCTGGTAATTTGACATTTCATTCCAGCAAAATTCTGGTATTTTCGCATTAGCATTCAATAATCTATTTTTCTTGAATTTGTGGTCGTTTGCACCGTCCATTTTGAGGGAGTTTTAACGATAATCAACGCTTAAAGTGACATTTTTACATGTTGGAATTTGACATTGGACATTTGAATGTGAAATTTGAACCAATAGGAAAGAAATCCGCAAAAAATAAATCGCTATTTCGCGTCTATGGAGACTAGTCGCAAATAGTTATGCGTTATGCCAAAGGTTACCAATATTAGGGCCGGTTTATTCACCTTCTGATAAACTGTCAGGTATGCAATCTGACCCATATATAAACGAAATATGTTATCCCATTGGTTGGCCAGTTATCCGCCGACCAATAGAATTATAGAACGGTGCACTTATCTTGCACTTGCAGATAGTTACCAAGGAGCTTATCTGAAGATGAACAAACCGGCCTAAGCATGTTTACCAATATCTGTAATGTTATGTTTAGGGTTGCCAGACCTCTATTTTTAATATGAGACTCATATATTTTAACTGTTTCTCATATCTCATATT